CAGCTCGAGGCAAGACGCTCTCACCCGCCTGGCACACACACATACATGTACTAACACACTGACATTGGCGATTTCCTTATATATATTTTATATATATAATCTACTTATCTGTGTATTTAATTAATTTTTTGTCTGAGATCTTGTTGATACGACGGGCTGACCGGTCAACACTGATTTAGACACAGTACACAGATGAAGTAGTTATGTCTCGTGCCTTACGTAGCCGTGGAGCCAGCGCCCGGATGAGTCAGTCGGATGATAGCTCCGCAGAGATGGATGACCAGGCTGACCATGACGCTCCAGCTCCCACAACATCGAGCAGCCCTTCACCTCGATATTCAGCGTTGTCTCCAGAGATAATTGCTTTAATGAAGTTTATGAGAGATGAAAGGCGCGAGGATGAAGCTAACAGACGTGTGGCGGATGAACACAGAAGGCAAGCAGAGGCAGAGAAAGACCACCAACGGAGATTGGAAGACAGTGCACGGTTTGAAGCTTTGATATCTCGCCTCACTGTTAACCAAGCCCCTGGCTCTAACACTGCCTCGGTACTGACTGGTTCAGATACCTCATCAATGCTTCCTTCACGCCCCCCAGCCCCACCTAAAGCAGCTGCTCAAACACCGCCCATCTTGAAGCCTGATGTGAATTTCCAGACTTTTCGTGAATGGCGGCGACGGTGGACTGATTATTCTACAATGGTGGATCTCCAGAGTTTGTCACAGCCTAAACAACTCATCCAGCTGCGTATGTGCCTGTCCTTGGAAATTCAGCGTGTCTTAGAACATACGTTGCAGGTACCTCCGACCTCTTCGTTGTCTGTAGAGGAGGTACTGGACATTCTACAACGGCACATCAAAGGACAGCAGAATGAAGCTCTGCGCAGGAGGGAATTGTTTAGCTACAGACAGATGGAGGGTGAGACTTTTGACGCCTTTTATGTACGTCTTAAGAGAGCCTCGGAAGAGGTAGATATATGTCTAGGCCACCACCTGCAGTGCGAGGAGACCCAGTTGAAGCAGGTGATCCTGATGGGTGTTAAGGACGAGGAACTTGTCCAACGCCTCACCTCCCTCGACTCTTCCTCTTCTCTCAAGGATGTGTTGACGATATGTCGCTCCTATGAGGCTGCCAGGTGTGCCACCTCTGCCATCCGAGCTCCCCCTACAGTTGTACGCGCTGTGTCCCGGTACAAGAAGGACAAGAAGTCTGCTCCTACGCCTTCACCCACCACGTCCACGCCCGGTTCATTTTGTAACAACTGTGGTAAGCAGCACGGAACACAGGTGTGTCCAGCTGCTGAGTCTACATGCAACAGTTGTGACCGTAAGGACCACTGGTCACCCACAGTACGGTGCCCAGCCAAACGTGTCCAGTGCAATGTGTGCGGTCGTCTCGGCCACTATGACAACTGTTGCCCTTCCAACAAACCCAAGGGACAGCGTCGGCGGAAGCTTCAGCTCCCTTCCACCAGAGAGGGCCGCCCACAGTCTTCCAATCAGAGGCACGACGACCCTGGACAAAGCCCGACCCATATTAGGAGGGTGTACTCCTCGCGTCCCAGGACCAAAGTCCCCCAGCACGTCAGCGTCATCGTGACCTACGGTAATGTGTCATCCCGTCTCGAGATGCTGCCCGACACCGGCGCTGAGGCTACGGTCATCGGTTCCCAGCATTTGCATTGCTTGGGGCTCTCTCCAAGCGATCTAGGACCGCCTCCCAAGGACCTCTGCATGACGGCAGATGGTTCACAGATGGCCCCAGCCCTAGGTTCACTCTATGCACATGTCACCTTTGGCAACAGGTCGTGTCAAGCCTGGATTGATGTGCATAATGGTGTCCCGACTCCTTTGCTGTCCTACAGACATTGCCAAGAGTTGGCCATCATCTCCCAGGACTTCCCAACACCGATTCTCGAGGTAAAATACGCCAACAGGGTGCACGAAGGGAGCAGCATCTACCCTGCTGCCGCCCTACCCCTACCTCTGGCCAGTGACACCTCTCCTTCGGTAGTTGTCCCTGCTGCTTCAAGTCTCCACGCCTTGGCTCGCCTCCACGACAGTCACTGTGGAGCCGAGGCCACCAAACGGCATGCAAGACAGACTGTGTTCCTGCCTGGCATCGACCCCGACATCTCCAATGCTGTCCAGGTGTGTAAGCCCCACCACGTACTACAACCCAGCCAGCAGCAGGAACCCTTCATGGGTGACGACAACCCCACCCGCCCCTTTGAGTCTGTGTCAGCCGACTATTTCTCTGTGTCAGGAAAGTCCTTCCTTGTTATCATCGACCGTCTCTCTGGTTGGCCGGTTGTCATCAAGTGCGGTAATGACACGACGTCTGCCGCCACTTCCGTGACGTGGGCGTTCCTGTGCGCCTGCGAACCGACGGAGGGCCTCAGTTCACAAGCCGGGACTTTGCTGTGTTCCTCGACCGATGGGGAGTCCGGCATGTGTTGTCATCGCCCCATTACCCGTAGTCCAACGGCCACGCTGAGGCTGCTGTCAAATCCCTGAAGCACCTCATCCTTAAGGTGGCCCCTTCTGGGAACATTGACTGCGAGGCCTTCGACCGGGGTCTTCTTGAACTCCGCAACACACCTAACTACACCGGACGCTCCCCTGCCCAGGTTTTGTATGGACGCCCCCTTCGTTCTTGTGTCCCTGCTCACCCTCAATCCTTCTCCAAGGAGTGGCAGGCCAAGACAGAGTATTGTGATCGCCGAGCCGCCGAACGTGTTCAGTCCGTCGTCGCCCGCTACAACGACCACGCCCGTTCTCTCCCCAGGTTGAGTGTCGGCACCCAAGTCCGTGTTCAGGACCCGACCTCCCTACGTTGGGACAAAGTAGGCGTAGTCATGGGTCTCGGTAGGTCACGGGACTACCAGGTGCGGTTACCCAGTGGTCGTGTGTGGTGGAGGAACCGCCGTTTTCTCCGCCCCGTAACAATGCCTTCTGCTGACCCCGCCACCAGTGTTGAGTCCCATATCCTTCCCAGTGATCTAGTCCCTCGACGCTCAGAACGGATCCAAAAGAAAAGGTCCGCTCAAGACTTTGCTATGAGCGTATAGGGGGGAGGGAGGTGTATGTATATTCTGTATGCTGTATTTATATTATGCTATGTATATTATGTATGTGCTCCATTTATGTATTATTTATTTAGCCTAGCTAGTAGCGTGTCGCAATGTATTTATCAATGTCCCACATGCTTAATTAATGTGCCTGGCGACGTATGGAAGCTGCTAATGTATCACTTGCCATACGTCGTCTATAGAGCAGTTGACCAGCGGACAGGTTGAAGAGCGCTACTCCCCTTGTGTAAATATCTCTTATCCAGTAAATCGAACCTACAAAATCTATATAGGTGTTTGTGTTCGCTCCTGTATATTGAACTTATTACCCAGAACACGAACACTGACTACCCAGCAAGTCCCTCAGCACCCAGGGCTGGCCCACTTCAGCCATCCTCCATCCGTGATGAGGTAGCTACTGCCATCATGCAGATGAAAATTAACAAAGACACAGCGCCTGATGCAATTCCAGTCGAGGTGTATAAAGCAGAAGGCTCTTTTCTTACAGCCCCTCCCGCACTAGATGTAGCCCTCCACACGTGCAACTTCTGTGGATGGCCCTTCCGGTTCCGCATCGGCCTCTCGCGTATCCGAGCTGGATCATCGTCATACTCGATTCCGAGTGACAGCAAATTAGTAGTAGTGTGTGTATGGTAATGTGTACAATTATTGGATGACATGCATATGTAAAACTAATCATATACGTTACCATTTGCACATAGGAAGATATTAAAATATAATTTTTGGTTCCTTTTGTTCTTTCATTGTTTTTTGTTTTTCCTTTAAGTTAATTTTATTTTTCTGTTCAATTTATATCCGTATATTTATTTCATGTGGGAATAACTGGGAATTTAAACTGATACCCATTATTTTTTCAACTGGTAAATGCTGCCTCCACCCAGACATGCCTCACACAACATTAAACATAGCTTCAACAATAAAAGCTCTAAATTAACTTTGGTAGCTGACAGAGAAGTCAAGATGTGTGAAATCTAAGTCCTGTATTCTCTGATAATCAAATTGTATTGGAGGGAATGAAGGGTGATACGCAAATTATAATTAAATACTTTTTATTAAAAGAAGTGTTGTTGCCTTGAACATCTTAAATCACCAATCACAAATTAAAGGAACTCCCAGTTGGATTCAATCAAATCTTATTAAACAAGCCTTTAACACTTGTACAAAAATAAACACAGTTTAGTCTTACTTTATCATTTGAAAAATAAGTTTCTTCAGTGAACAGTCTAGGGTTGCTCATTTTTCCCAATTTTAGAAAATTGTGGGTGGGGGTGTTTTTTCCCATTATTTCGTTACTCCTAAATTCATTGGTGCCAGAATTAATGAAATCCAACGTGTTCCAGGGGTCGCGAATCCAAATATAAAAAATGAATTTTGGCGAAAAAACGTCAAAACTCAAGCTTTTTCTCTTATAGATCAGCAATCGCGCTGCTTTTCACTACTTAACCCTAATGGCTGGCTAGAGCAGCTATTCAGCTTTCCATTGACACCTAATTCGATTGCATGCACCTCTTAGTTGACCTTCTAGTTCAGGTCAAAGGCTTTACCTGCATTAAGGGAACCAGATTCCAAAATATTCATAGTTTTGACTTCTCCATTTATTCGAAAACACATATCAATATTTTGCCGTCACAGTCTTTTCCATGATATATTTCCCTCTTAAAAAAACAAACATCATTGAAATAGGTCAATAACTCTAGGAGGAGATGCAATTTGAAAGTTCAATCCCCCTCTATTCAACTCTCACAGTTGCATCAGAGCAGACTTGCTGAAGCCACTCATCTGCTTCCTGTGCTTTTCCACAAGTTGCATGACATCCTGCAGCTGCTGCTCATCCTTCGTGACTGAACCAATGAAGTCCTGCATAAGTTTTATTCCCCTTTCGGCCACGTCATTGGTTACCTTCAGGCTTCTGGAGAAATCTTTCAGCTTCATGAACTCTTCGTTTTTCTCCCAGTCTTCCACCGGTGACTTCAGCCATGCTGTGCCGCACACATGATGCTCCTTGAAGATCATCCATGAACGTTCATCTATCAGGTCGGAAAGCCGTGTAGTCTGTTGGATGACCAAGTTGCCGTTGGCGTAGTCGTTCGTTTCTTCTAGGCAGCTCAATTTGGTCGCCATCTCCTTTTTCTCTGCCACACTCAACTTCTCGCTGCACAGCGACAGAACGACGGTCTGTGGCCTTAGATACCACAGGTGGCGGCTCGCGATCGCCAGCGCCGCATCAGCCACCTCACAGTCCACGGCCCTGTAGCGGAGGAGTTCGTGATGCAGTTGCAGGTCATTCACAGGCGCATCCTTAGCTACTGGTGATTTCAGCCACGCCGGTGTGTACAGCAGAGACTCAAAGATCGCCATCCTCTGCAGCTTGACGCACAGGTCACTGCTGAGCTCTAGCTGGTGGCTAAACATGTAAATCTTGAGGTAATATATGATCTTCGCCATCCAGCGAGCGTGGTGACATGCGCCTGGACGCAGAAAGTGCGTGCCGCGCGGAGGATTCACACCGAGGACGAGGAGCGTTAGTTCTGCCGCTTCTCGGTAATCCTCTCTGGCCCATTCTGTGACGGTCAGCAGGTAGCTAACGGTCCTATGTCAGAGGTGACTGAGCCAGTCAGACTCTGGTAGATTTGCAATGTCCAGCCTGAGATACTGAGAGTGATCTAGTTGACTCCACCTTTTCTTAAGAGTCTGGAAGAGAGGGTCCGTAGGGGCCGATGTTTTGCCGAAGATGTTGCTGGCAGCGGCTCTCACCACCAGTTCCATGACGTGGTGTCTGCACCCAAGCCTCAACAGCTGTTTTTCCAGCAGCGCCTCCAGATGGACAACCGCACCTTGGACTCGCCCTGTGTTGGACGACGTTGTATCATAGCACAGTGCCTTTACGTTTGAAGCGCAGCTCCAGTCCTCGATAGCACGAGCTGTTGCGCGTGCCTGGGTCAGGCCAGTGCCGTCCTTCACTGGCAAGACAGCAAGCAGCTTCCCTTCCTCATGGCCGCGCCCTGAGATGAAGATGGCCTGTCGGTGTTCTTCTCCCACGACGTTCTGAAATAAGAGAAATATAAAAATTCAGACAGATAATGAAGAATTATCAAGGCTGCCTTTTTCTCCAAGCTTTTTGTTAATGATTTGATACATTTCTAACAATATATTACAATAGTCTAGGCTTTGGTAAAATATTAATGTAGTACCTAAACGTGTTCTCACCTTAACCAGCTTACCATCCCAGTGCACCACTGCATGTGGTGGAGGCGTGAAGGCTTCCCTTTGTGCGGCAGCTACCTGACGACGGTGTGAAGCTCGCGCCCGTCTCGCAGTCTCTCTCGAGATCCGGAACTCAGACAGATCGCCTGGCGGGTTAGCAGAGCGCAGCACTGCTGCAACCACCGAAACTATCTGCGAGCAAAAGCAGGCAAGGGTGTCAGTAGAAAATGTCGACTGTTTAAGTGCTTATCAAATAATTAACCGAAATTTCAAACATTCCAAACACATTTATGGATACACTTACTTCGTTATTGGATATCCGAAGACGGTCAGCGAGTTCCTTTAATGCTGGCTCTTGGAGAATGCGACGTGGAAGCTGAACCGTCACATAAGGGTGCTTTGATGTGTACCTGCCAGGTTGTATCACTGCGTCCTTTTTCTCCATTTCTACTTCCGTTGGGGTGTCAGCCACCACAGAGGTTTGAGGTCTCGAATCACTGCTGCTTGGTTCACAGACTGCGAACCTTCCCTGTTTCGACCTTGGCTTCTCGACTCGTTCCTCCTGCTTTCTCTTCTTAGCGGCAAAAATCTTATCGTTACCACTCATGAACGCTTTTCTTTCTCCGCGTTGGTCTTGATAGAAGGCGATGTCTTGTTGTTTGTCGGCCGGTGTAAGCAGCCGGTTCTTCTCGATGTCCTCTACGGCGTCCGGTGCTCCGATGTCCCACAACAGGTCAAGTTGAGACTTGAAGTTTTCAACCTTGTCCTTTGCAGCCCTGTCCCGACTTTTTTGTAGACTTCTCCAGTGCTCCCATAACCTTGTCAGCTTCTCCCGGCACCCCCTCTCTGAGATAGTCTTGATGCGAGCTAAATTCCAGAACGTGAGTACGTTTCTCACTGTTTCTTTAAACGTCTCCTGTCTGTCACCAGATTCATTCACTGTGTGAAAGAAGAACTTCAGGACTTGACGCATCGTCGGGAGTTTACTGCCTCTAATTGACGATGCTGGCTGGCCTACTAGATAGATTTCAGTGGCAGAACGGGTAGTGGATGACGTTGGCCTGACAGTCCCCTTAGCATTCTCCCCCGACTGCGACTCACTCTCTTCCATGATTGTATGTATATAAACAGATGAACTCTGTAAGAAAAAAACGTTTTGTAATAAAACAAAATAGGCAAACAAAATAAGGTCACATAAGAGCAATTTAATCACCTGTAGAAAATACAACATAAATAGATAACCATAAATTTACTGCCACACTATATAGCAGATTTGAGTTAATTATAAAATAACACCACAGTACCAACAACAACACAACACATGTCAAAACACTGCAAAGAAGTGCAGGGTTTTAAAGCTGCCAATGTGAACCTAGTGAATTTATAACTCCGTTAACGCAGGTAGGCTACAGCCTTTGACCTGACTTAGAAGGTCAAATAAGAGGTGCATGCAATCGAATTAGGTGTCAATGGAAATCTGAATAGCTGCTCCAGCCAGCCATTAGGGTTAAGTAGTGAAAAGCAGCGCGATTGCTGATCTATAAGAGAAAAAGCTTGAGTTTTGACGTTTTTTCGCAAAAATTCATTTTTTATATTTAGATTCGCGACCCCTAGAACATGTTGGATTTCATTAATTCTGGCACCAATGAATTCAGGAGTAACAAAATAATGGGAAAAAACACCCCCACTCACAATTTTAAAAAAGTCTGAAAAAATGAGCAACCCTAGACTTGTGAGTAAAACAATACCATCTTAGAGGCAATGCTTCAATATACAGTAGCTACCCAAGAATATATTGGTACTACTTCCAGCACCTCTAAGTAATATTCACCATTCTATATACCCTTACAGCGCCAATAAGTACCTTCACGTTCTTTCATTATTTTATGCTATTACTTCTACACATCACACTGGTACCTAGTACGGACAACTAGGAGTCTTAGTTTTTTTGTTTGTTTTTATTGGAATTAGCCCACCCAGACACAGGTCAAACGACCCACAACGGGGCCTGTGGGTGCGAAAAAACCCCAGAAAGAAATTGAAAATAGAGAAGAAAAAAGTTATACTGTGTTAATCTACACCACGAAGATGCCAGAAAATCAGCTTTTTAAAGTGAGACAGATTGTATAAGTATGGAAACACAGAAGAAGGCAGAGCAATCCACAGTTTGGCTGTGTGAGGTAAGAAGGAGGTACTATTACGGGTTACTCTTGTGTGACCGACACCCACAGAGAAACGGTGGGCACCTCGGGCAAGACGTGTGTTGCGAGCCCACGGCCTTGCCGGCAGCACACAGGATGCCAAATCCACCGAACATTGCCCGTTAAAGTACCTGGAAAAGAGAAAGAGTGAAGCAACATTGCTGCGAAGAGAAAGAGAAGAGAGATTGTCGACTAAAGGAGGAGAGTTAATAAGACAAAATGCCTTTGATTCCACCCTATTAGATAGGGTGGAACCAAAGGCATTTCGTCTTATTGTAATACTATAACGCTAAAATATCAGTACTTCTTACAGCATCCTTAACTGTAGCCCATTGGTTACAGATCACACTGTTGACTAACTAGTACCAACAATTAAGAGTTTTAGTGGTAGTAAAACATCAACAGCTGATTCAATTACTTAACACCCAAACAAACACAGGTCATATCTCTACTAAATTACACTGTCTTAGTACAATACCTGGGATGGAAGCAATACTTATAACTCGTCAATACTGACACATACAGGAGAATGTAACCAAGGAGAATTTATCCAAATTTTCAGGATAGAGCAAGACTCTGGGTTCACAGTGCGGGTGCCAAACAATGCCTCCGGTTCACCCACACTGAGTCCGCCGGGTTCAGCAGCTCACACTAAGGTTCGCCCTGGGTAACACACTCCTTGATCGTCACATACCTCCACTACAGGTCCAGCCTAATGTGTGACATCGTGTCTCTCTCTTAGCTATACCTCCCAAGGTAGCGCCTTGTCTTTACAGTGATGTCTCATGGCAGTAATTACAGGTCTATTACTCTGATTCGTGTGCATCTCGTATTAATTCAAGTCACCTCAGTGCTTGAGCGTTTATTGAGTCAATCAAATCAATCATAAAAAATATGGATTGAACATCACATTCTAATGGTTCAGCTGTCAATAGACAGCCTTGCATTTATAAGACTAGTAGAACGTTATGCACTTTCGGTGATTAATACAATTGATTAATATCAATTTGTAACACACATTTCAAAATATTATCTGATTCTTTAGATCAAGTAAATGTAAGTCGGGTAACAAATTGACAACAGTCAATTTCAAAAGAGGCAAAACCAGTGCAGCTATTTCTGCTGGCTCACTCAATAATTAGACTATAATGCAGTTTTCATTACAATTATGTACAGTTGAAGCTTTTAACATATTACTCAAGGAATCGCGAATGCTTCAGCTAACATTCGGTATACATATCTTAAAGCTACACATATGAGTTCAAAAGTAATCTTAACTTTACATACTGTACAGTTCCATTCACCAGTGCGTTTACAGGGACTCTTCTGGTTTGGTGGCAGCATTATATGTTTACATCCGACAGAAGGAAACTCGCAATAGTAAACATACACAATATTTAACAAATATCTCACTGTAATGATTTGTGGAGTGATTATATGATGAACCCCTTTAAATGCGCCAGTGTAGGGACTGTACATTAAAACATGGCATCCTGGGTGAGAATGGGTATGTTAGGTCACATGAAAGAAAATGTAAATTTTAATGGGCGATTAAAGTAATGATTTATGCATCTTTTAGTGACTATTTAGCGTAATATGAACCATCTCATCTAAAGATAACTAACATGTACTAATGTCATCAGTACATGGGAGATGAAGTTCACATGAACACACAAGGTAGGAGGTCGTGGGGGCGTGGTCATCAATGGTATCAAGTATACAAACAATTGATTGGTCATTATATTGTGAGAATATTTGAGGGGACCCTATCTTTTGCTTTCATTTTCTCCACTCAATCCCTCCCTTTCTGTCTTTACCTCTCTCTCTCTCTCTCTCTCTCTCTCTCTCTCTCTCTCTTTGCCTCTCCTCTTTCTCTCTTTGTCTCTCCTCTCTCTCTTTTTCAGTGGCAGATCCATTCGGTGGCCGAAGGGTCCACGTTGGCGGAGGGGGCAGAACTATTTTTTGCCCAACCCTCACCCCCCAGTTGGTGGAACTTTTTTCTAAAGAGCCAAGTTAGCTACTTTCTAGGTACCACCGTGGCCGCATTACGTTCCAGCACATCAATAATCTTCATTTCTCGGCTTGTATCATTTAAATAAAAGGTTCACTATCTTTACACACGTTATAAAGGCGGGGGGAGGGGGGTTCATTTTCGAGTTTTCTTTCTTTTCCTATTTCATTCATTTTCTCCATTAGTTCTGTCTAGTTATTTCATTTCATACAGTTACTTTATAACCTCTGACTTTTGGTAGCATGGCGAGGGTTAGGGCACATGGGTTCTGTTATTCTGGTAACAAGCTATTGGACAAGAATAAAGGTAGATACTGAGGGAAAATGCTACCCCTAGCATACTCTAAAAATGGTTTATTAATATGAAATTAAATTTAGTTAAAGATGTCATTAACATACAATTACAAGGATCAACTCCTTGGCTTTACTCGTCTGCAATTCCAATTAGATACTCTCGCTTCTTACATCATTACTGGTTGTACATTTAAAAGAACACACTACATGACAAGCTTACATATGGCACCTTCACTAGAACTCAGTTGGTAGTATATATGATTGCTGTACTCTCAACTCACATAACAAGCGGTATTACTACTAACATCAATATTTAGGGGTTCAATACTAAACATGGGAAAACTATATTCCCCAATCAGGTACAACAATAATACTTTGGCCCTTATATTGTAACTGTGAGGAATACACCAGGGTGTCACACTGGTGTCACACCAACAAACGAAGAGCGTTGTTAGGTTGGTCTCAGTCTGACACACTGAGAGGGAGTTCGTCCCATGGGCTTAGTTCCCAGGGTGCGAGGCTCGCTCCATTCAATCTTGCTGAATTAATGACATCTTTCACGACAGGCAGCTGGTATGCAGCTACCGGTCACAGCTGCTGGGTATTCAGCTAACACCCACTTTGTGCCTGGAGATGCGTTGAGGAAGAGTCACAAGCGTGTTAAAATGGTCAAACTTCAACTACACATAACATACGTCTGGCAACGATACAGACGATACTTACTTACGTTACTTTAGTTATACTTGGCACACGATCATTTCACTATGCTAAAACATGAACACTGATATTCACAAAATTCAACTGAGCTAAACTGACTTTACATGGCGGCGGGAAACAATCGTTCACATACCTGGAGATGCGTTGAGGAAGAGTCGTGAGCGTGTGAGTCTTCCTCGTGCATTAGTTTATATATTGTCATCTGGCAACTCAGGCTTGCGCAGGCATGCCAGAAGGGCTAATCTCACAAACGAAAGAAATTCGTTTCAACTAAGTCGCTATACATTCAACTATGAAAATCAGTGTCATGGGTCAGGTGAATTTCTTATGTCTATTTTCATAATCTAATCAGCGATTGAGCTTACCAGGAAAAGGTGAAATGGGCATCAAATACACACGCTGTTGACGTCATTCTCACACCATCAGCTGGATTTCTAGACAAGGACCCTCTATAGGTATACATTGAGGT